GGCCAGAGTGCCAGAGCTGGGGCACTGCTGTGGTGCCAGGACACGGCACCGTGCTGCCCACCGCCCACCAAGGAACCTGGAAAACCCCACCACCCTTCTGACCCCGCTCCTTCAGCCCAACAGCAAGAGAAAGCCAGCTCTGAAGCAGGTACTGACCAACCCTGACCTCCCAAGAGTTGCCTTCACAAGACTTTCTCAGCACCTAAGTAGTTCTGTCCGTGAGAGCAAGACCCCACCAAGACTTTCACTTGGGTTCTTCAACCCAAGGTTCTCTCCGCTGCCTCCACCCACCCCAAATTACAGCAATGCTTCTCCAGCACCGATGGAAATCCACGTATCTGACCCCATCCAATCGAGGGATGGGCCATCAGGAGAAGCTGTGTCCCCAATGCTGGGTACAGCACTCCCTGGAGAAGGGGGCAACCAGCAAACAACCTTGCCTTGGCCACGCACAGCCAGAAGCCGGGGGGTTATCAGTCTCTTCTGCAACTTTTAGGCTACATCTACTAGGTTAAGCTCAAAATAACTGTCCTGGGAGTGTCTGGTGGAAAGGTGTTATGTTTTACAGGGCCTGAATGATGCAGTGCTACTAAAATCCCATTTAATTCCGGCTCTTCTAGTGCAGCTCCACCTGGTCAACTACTGTTAACGTTAAATCTTAGAAGTACTTCTAAAAGTAGGCCCTGAAACATGACAGCCAAGACACCTTCTGCTACAAGGCCCAAGAGCGAAGTAACTTTGACCTCTCTTAATTTTGTTTTAAAGGTGCCCTGGCTTTCTAGGAACAGGCACCATGTGGAGACAGCACACAAGTACACGTTTACCAGGTGACCAGTCTCCAACCATCTCCTCCATCCACCTCCTTCGCTCCTGAGGAATGAAGATAAACATCCCTTGGTTCCTTCTACAACTGCAGAGGAACCCACCCCGTGGCCAAACACGATGCAAATCACAGCAGCGAGATTCCTGGGCTGGTCCTAATGGCTCCAAAAGCTGCTCCTCTTCCATCTGAACCTGCTTCCCAGAGCTGGGAAGCCAAGAAACCCCTCCAGGTTGATCTGCAAAGCAAGGAGCGTGTGCGTGGTGGGGAAGGGGGAAAAATGGTGGGAGGGAGAGAAGAGAACAAAAAGAACCCCCCCCCCCCCAAAA